TACATAAAGCAATAAAAGAGCTTAAGAATAATAAAGCAGCAGGCTTTGATGTAATAATAAATGAGATGCTTAAATGTGGCCAGTCGGTTTTGGTGAAACCACTTAATAAACTATTCAATACTATATTCTCATCAGGGGATTATCCAACTCAGTGGAGTCAAGGGTATATTTATCCTATTCATAAAAATGGAGATAAAGATCATCCATCTAATTATAGAGGCATTGTTATTAATAGCTGTGTTGGAAAATTATTCACAAAAGTCCTCAATTTACGGTTAGATAAATTTCTTTTCAAAAACAATATTATACCCCACGAACAAATAGGATTTACAAAGAAAAAACGTACTGTGGATCACATGTTTGTTCTAAGATCCCTTATTGAAAAACATACAAAAAAGGGAGTTAACCTTTGTATGTATGCTTTATTGATTTTAAAAAAAAGCTTTTGATTCAGTTTGGCTTCAGGGGCTTTTCTATAAACTGAGACAAATTGGCGTAAGTGATAAATTTTATCATATATTGAAAAACATGTATGCCAATACTAAACTATGTGTCAAATCAGGTCATAATTTGACTGAATTTTTTCAATCTCATGTTGGGGTAAGACAGGGAGACAATTTAAGCCCAAATTTATTCAAAATATTTATTAACGAAATAAAGAATGATTTTGATATCTCTAGTGACCCAGCATTATTAAATAAGAATCCATTGAGTTGTTTGCTGTATGCTGATGATATGGTATTGTTATCTTCAAGTGAAAAGAGACTACAGACCTCTCTTATTAAGCTGTCATCTTATTGCATGCAGTGGAACCTGAAAATAAACTATGAAAAAACTAAATGTGTGATATTTTACAAGTCTGGTCGCTTATTGGGTTCAAAATTTACAATCAATAATATCACATTAGAAAATGTTAAACATAATAGATATTTGGGAGTTGTATTTTTAGCATCTGGTGCATTTACAGAGACAAAATCTGAACTTTACAAAAAGGGGTTAAAGGCCTTTTTTAAACTAAAAAAATCATTTAATGATTCACTTTCAAAAATTTTACCCTTCATTCATATATTTGACCACACAATTCAGCCAATTTTACTTTACGGATCAGAAATATGGGGTGCTGGCAGTCCCTCAAAACTCAAGGATTCATCTAATTTTTATAAACTATGTAATGATTTTATACTTGAAAAATTGAATGTAAAAAGTTGTAAATATAAACTTGGTGTGAACAGAAAGAGCACAAACAATGCTGTCATGGCATAACTTGGACATTTACCCATACAATTGCCCATTTTAATAAGCATCCTTAAATATTGGATAACTTTAGAAAAATCTGAAGACATTTTACTAAAAGAAGCACTGGCACTGTCTAAAAACCTACATGAAAAAGGTCACACTTCATGGTATAGTTATATTATTAAAGTTTTGGAGCTTCTTGATCTCACTCCCAACAGTTTACTACATAAGAGTAAATATTGTATTAAAAATATAGTCATGGGAAAACTTAAAGGATTGTATATAAAAGAATGGAAGATTAACATTTTAATGATGTAAGAAGTATTAATAACCAAACAAATAAACTTCGTACCTTTCGTTTATTCAAAACAAATTTTAATTTTGAACCCTATTTAAACCTGCTAAACTTTAAACAAAGGCAGGCATTAACAAAACTAAGAATTGGGGACCATCAGCTTGAAATTGAAACAGGGAGACACAAAAACCTCCCAGCTCCTGAGCGTATTTGTAAACTTTGTGAGGAGGAGGTAGAAGATGAGATCCACTTTCTCCTTCAATGCAAAAAATTAGAAACTTATAGAAAAACATTTATAAAAGAACTTTGCATTTCTTATCCTAATCTAAAGAAATGTAGCACCGAAAATATTTTTATATGGCTAATGGGTTGTGAGAATCTAGAAGTTCTAAAACGCCTATGTAATTTAGTAATCAGTCTCTGGACTGAGAGGGATAATATTATGTTAAAAAAAGTAAATGATGCCGGTTAATTGACCCAGTGAATCATTCATAGGCCAAATTTGAATTTTATGGCACTAATGATATTCATAAACAGTTGAATATATGCCTCAACATTTCTATATGTTAAATATATATACATATCTGGGGTTTTGCTTTTTCTTTTGTGTTTATTTTTTCTCTGTATTTTGTCGTTATATATCATTAAGAATTAATAATAATCATTGTAATACATTATTTGTAATTATTCTGCTCTCTTAGGGCGTCCTTGATTGACAATAAACATATTGTATTGTATTGTATTGTTACCGGATAAGTTATATAAAAGCAGTGTTTTCTAGATTTATCATTTAAGCATTATCCGTTGATTTATGTAGATGTTTGTTGTAATTTAGAACACAGTTGGACTCATTTGATGTCGGAGTTCTTATGTTAATAGATTGATACGTTGCCGGAAACACACATACGTTGAAGAGACAATATAACATAAAGTTACTTTCATGTATTACTGAAAACAGTTTCGAAATATAAAAAAATAAGAAACGGATAAATGTGCTGCTGCATATCCTACTTGGAATATCATGTCTAAAGGAATCAACGCAAGAGGACTTTTACTTTTCCTTATTTATATAGGTAAGAGTTGACCTCGGAGTTCGGTATTAATATTTTATTCCACAGTTTCAACTTGACATAGGTCGTTATCTCCCTATATTCTACGGAGATATTTGAATTATTTTCTTCAGTTGTAGACGTTCCTAAATTTCACGTTTGATAGTATGCACATCAAGTATACTTTTTGTTTATTTCTATATAAATGTTTTCCTGATATTCGAATAAAATATAGTTTTAGTACTTAGACTCTGTGCCATAGATTCAATTGGGTTATATAACATGAAGATTTATAAGATTCCGCTTGTTTAATTTTTATGATTGATATGACTTGAATCGTATATGTTAAGATACACTTTCACCTAACACTAGAACAACATGGAAACAACTTGGATTGAAATTCCACGTTTAGATATTTTCCTAATGTGTCCTTTTAAGTCTAGAGATATTAATTGCTCCACTTGACTAGTGCTAAATCACCGGATATGACACAGATTAACAAAAGTAACACGGCGGGTTTCACACATTGAGCACAAATTGCTAACCAATCATGAGCACTTTGGTTCTACCCCGGTTTTGTTTGGATTATTTTTTTCTATCTTTAGTTTTCCTTGTAAAGAAGTGTCGTAGTAGTTTATATTTCGTGTTTTATTATAACCCCAGTGTTTGATCGATTTTACAAAGTGGTATGTAGGGGGTTCCTATCAAAATTTGCAATTTGTATATCTTTATATGAAATAAAAAAAAAACGTAATTTAATTAGAGGGTAGGGGCATGGAAATTTCCCTGTTTTTGCCACCTTAACCTTCGTAGCTAGATGAATATGTCTAAAGTATGGTATCCTCATCAGTGGTGCTCGTGATAAAAACTGTATTTGTGGTAAAGGTAGATAACAAGTCTTTGCTTACAACAAATTGCAATTTGTCAAAACTCTGTGCGATAAATAGCTTGTAATAAAGCTTGTTGTACAACCAGTTTTCTTTTGTTGAAGATGCAAGATATCTTCTTTGGCTATGCTTGGAGCTCACCAATTTATCAGTGTTGTGTTAATAGTATACTCCCGACAAAAACATCACTACCAAATGAGAGGCAAACAGATATATGGTGTTTCAAAACAAATTTTGCTTTTTATGGTAAAACAAATTTTAAACTAAAAAAACTCTGATAAATTGTTCAGTAACGGGTTTCGAGTTTTAAAATGCATCTAGCAGGCTCCAGATGGTTTTGATTGTACAATTAAAATAAAATAACAAAAAGTGGAATTTTCAATGCTACAAATATCTACCACAGACCTATAGGGATGATGTATCAAATATAAGCACTGAAAGGCTTTCACGAATAAACGAAATCCATAGCGTAATTAAATATATAAAATCCCTAGAAGGACAAATGTGACATGATCTGAAAAGGAAACCAATGTATTGATTTATATTACAACCAAATAAGAAAGAAAATAACGACAGACACTAACTGTTCTAAGAGGCGTTGTTACCTTGGTTCATGTAAATCAAAAGGCATTGTGAATAAGAAAAAGATGTCTCAAACAAATTTCGAGTCTCATTCGATGAAGTAACCTTAAGTTTGTCTATAACATATTAACAATGGGTCACTTTATCGCAGGACAATTACTCATATTTCCATAAAGTGCATTGTTAACACAATTTAATGCAGGACTATACGTTTGTTTATCCACATTTCCATGAATTGCATTTACGACCGTAAAATTTAACCTTAATGGAAACCACTTTATGGCGTCCTTCTAAGCCATTTCCACAAAAATAAATATCACTCAAAGCTAAAAATTATGCCAAAAAAAAATCCTACAATCATGACAATAATGCAATGAATTATTAACTTGATAATACAGTAATACAATACTTTTTTTGGTTTTATTTGCTTGTTGCTGTGTGGGAAAATAAAGTTGAGGGGAATGGACTAGCGGTTACTTTTGATACCATTTCAAAAGAATTAATTGTAATACGTGAAATTTAAATTATAAACTGTTTTCTTGTCATGTCAAATTTCCTTAATAAATCGTACAACATCTTTGTTATCAAGTAGAAAGAATAAGGAAAATAAAAACTTAATATTCGACCCTTCTTTGTGATCAATTAAAAAGAAGCATGCTTAAGTCCATTAAAGATGTAATCGAGCAGAAAATGACATTGCATATCATTTCTCTTTGGAGTTGACTGGTCAAAGATACCGATTAGTCAATCAAAATACATAATGACAAATAATTGTAAGAAAAGCAATTAGAAATATATAAACTTTGTAATCAATTGAAAAGCAATAAGCTAGAATACGTTAAACATGACATTTAGCAGGAAATGGAATTCGATAATATTTCTCTGTGGAGGTATATATTTATTAATACATATAAATAACATGTTGTATTGATAACATGATTTGGGAAACAATCCAGTATGCAATACCGGTCAACCTATATAAAAGCTGTGTATTCTAGATTCATGATTTAAATATTATCCGTTGATTTATGTAGACGTTAGTTGTAGCTAAGAACGAATTCGATTTATTTGATGTCGGCGTTTCTGTGTTTGTAGATTGATACGTTGCCGGAAAAAGACATTCGCGGTAGAGACAATATGACATAAAGTTGCTTACGATAACATAAATCACTAAATACTGTAATGAAATATCCAAAACATTGAGAAGCGGATAGTTGTGATGCTGCATATAGTACTTGAAAAAAAGATGTCTAAAGAATTGTGCACAAGAGAATTTTTACTTTTACTAATTTGCATAGGTAAGTTGAGGAATGTTTCTTTAAATGTAAGGTTTACTCCATTGGCTCACGTGGCTTAAAGGGCCAGTTTTAATTTCTCCATCACTTATCGTTCGTCGTCTGTAAACCATCACACAAATGTTTTCCTCTGCAAATACTTGGTCATAAAACCAAAGCTGGTTACAATACATCTAAAAGTATCCAGGTTAAACATGTATTCAAAGATCCCTCCTGCCAATCAACATGGCTACGAAGGCTAAATCTAGATAATAGGGGATAACACGCAGGATTTATAAAATATCTGTAAACCATAAGGCCTACATGGTGTCTATTTCATCTAAAATTGTGAAGGACTTCTTTTACGAAAAATTAAAATAACAAAAATACCGAACTCCAAGGAAAATTCAAAACTGAAAGTCCCTTAACAAATGACAAAATCTAAATCTCAAACACATCAAATGAACCGGAAACAACAGTCATATATGAATGGCAGTTTGTGTCATTGGCTGTATAAACATACCGTATGCAAATTTTTTTTGCGTTGGTTATACCTTTCGACGCGTTGGTTTTTTTTACTTTCAACCTGTTTGTTATCATTTTCAACGCGTTGGTTGTCAAAAATAACGCGTTGATTCGTAATTCATACGGTATGAAAAACCAATCCGTTGGTTTTCAATTCTACACCGTAACTTTTGCACTTTTGTCAACAAACAAAAACTTTCTGACAAAGTTTTATCTAAATATGGGTTATACTAATGACTGGACCGATGACAGGACAATGACAGGTCCAAATGAGAAATTATAACTTTGTTTATTTCTCAAAGGAATTACCTCAAATTTGAAATATAATAAGATTTCATCATTTAATACATAAATCATAAATATAAGGGGAAAAAACAAAAACAAATGTTAAAAGCTTGCGAAAACGGTACCTAACCAATGTTGACAATGACCTGACTAACATCGACAATGACAGGACCAAGCGAAAATGCAAATAACTTTTTTATTTCTCAAAGGATTTATATATAGTTTTTTTTTAAATATTTTCATAATGGTAAATAATTATTTTCGCGGACTATACTTGAGGTATGCCCGAGCCTTGAGCAGGATATCTTGGTAGTTTAAAATACTTTTATAAAAATAAATAAACATTTTCGCGGACTACTTGAGGTATGCCAGAGTCTTGTGCAGGATATCTTGGTAGTTTAAATGTTTTCATAAAAATAGATAAACATTTTGGCGGACTACTTGAGATATGCCCGAGCCTTGTGCAGGATATCTTTCTTAGTTTTAAACTTTCCCGAAAGTCAATAAATTTATCGTTTGTTAATATGTTTGATAATCGTATGCATGCATTACTTTTCACCTATTCTTATACACATGTTATAGGTAAAATAATTTCTATTGCATAATTTTGCTTTCTTATACTTCTCAAACATTGACGTAGTTTTTTTTTATTGTGATCTATACATTTAAAGTCTGAATTATGCTACAAAATCAGTATTAGGTTATACACAAATTTTAGATTTGAATTAAACGCTACTTTGACTTGTATTCTCTACTAGATGTCTATTGATCATAATTGGAATTCAGCAATCTAATTACAATAATCTGATATAATTAGATTAGTCTTGACAAGTTGAACATTTGGAAAATTGGTCAGGTCAAGTGTTTTGCTAGTGTTTTTTTATTTGATCAAAATGAAAGATTCAATCTTAATGTTTCTATGATTTGAAGCAATTCCTTTTACATTTTTCCTAGTCAGGATAACGATCAGGACACAGTCAACGTTGGTCAGGTCAAATTGTTTTCCCCAAAATGTATATTTTTCCCGATATTTAGTAATATCCTACGAGAAATACATCTGTTAGTTAGCAATTCTCATTTGGACCTGTCATTATCCTGTTATCGGTCCAGTTATTAGTGTAACCCATATTTAGATAATACTTTGTAAGAAAGTTTTTGATTGGTCGACAAAAGTGCAAAACTTACGGTATGGAATGAAAAACTTACGGTATAGAATTTAAAACCAACGCGTTGGTTTTTCATACCGTATGAATTACAAATCAACGCGTTAATTTTTACAATCATTGCGTTGAACATGATGACCAATGCTTTGAAATTGAAAACCAAAGCGTTGGAAGTAAAAACCAACGCGTTAAAAGTGACAACCAACGCGTTGAAAGTAAACATCAACGCGTTGAAAATTTCATACGGTATGTTTATACCGCCAGTGACACGAATGGCCACTCATAGTAATACTCCTAATTTGATACAGGCGTTTCCTTTTGTACAAATTAGTATATTATACCTGGTTTATAGCTAGCTGAACCTCTCACGTGTGTGACAGTCGCATACAATTCCATTATATTGACAAATATTTGTGAGCAAAACAGCAGATATAACAGGTAAAAATGTCAAAGATTGGAGGTACAGAAATCAACATTGAAATATAATCTTAATCGCTGTAATAGCTGAATAGCAGCAGTAAGCTCTTGAATATCGAATGAGTCGGGAAATGTATATTCCATATACAGGTAAAGTTATTTATATTGCTGCTAAGGTGGGGGAAATTTATTTTTAAAAAAAATCGTCTCGTTTGTCATACATTCTGGTACTGAGATGACCGCTCATGTTTAATTCGAGTTATTGTCCTTAAATGACATATAAATAATTTAGAACAAACGAAATTGCCAGTCGATTCCTTTAACATGGTGTTGTCCATAAATGACAATTTCAACCTATTTTTGCATTTTCGGACAAAAAAATATTTATAGTAGATAAAGAAATTCCTAACTGTAAACATGATAAGCAAATCAAGATCTACCAATAAAGCCGTAGTTGATTAATCTATATGCTAAAACATCATATTATTAAATGTCAACAAAGTCGAAAGTTTTTAGTTGACTCTTTATAGCAGTTATAACCATTGATTAATGATTGCACTATTGTTAAACCTATAGTAAAAGTATACAAATGGTAAACAGCAAAACAAATTGACAATATCTGAAAACACGAAACATATCCAAAGTGCGAGGCAATCCATTTTTGTATCAATCCTGAACTATATTAGATTCTATAACCTGGAAATATTGTAAAAAACAGATAGATACATGAATGTTGCCTTGTTTGAATAGAAAACTACAGATATACACATAGAGTTTTATTTTGTCTGTATAGTATACAAAACAGTCACTCTGTACCCTATCGTTCTTCATGTTGAGAGAACGTTAATATGAAAAGACACTATGTACGTTGCGGTTCAATTAAAATTCCCTAATATGAGTTCATAAAGTTTGGAAAAGGAAACCAGATAGACATGTTCGATTAACATTAAATCAGATCTTACAGGAAGACTTATATTTTATAACAGCACAGTAAACGTACAACTTTACTGGGTCCTTAACTTAGCTGTAACTAATTAATCTATATGCTCAAACATTCAAATATTATAAGATAATAAATATATTTTAACAATTCATGATTGAAAAACAAAGCACAAAAAATAGTTCTGTATAGTTTACCAGTGTTTTGTGTATATATTTCTACATACCTCAATTATAACACAAAGTAAAGCATTTAATGTTTGCAAACTGTTTTCTCGTGAATAATAAAAAAATGTATTTCCATTGGACGTAAAGCGACCAAAATCAATCAATATTTTTTGCATGTTCTGTTATGTATGATTTGTTCAGTTTGTGTTTTTTTTTTATCTTTGATAGTCTCTTTTTTTATTATTCAAAACTGATTTCTATTCATATTAAGGATTTGACATTAAGAAATACACACAATTAATAATGGAAACGGGGAATGTGCCAAAGAGACAAGAAGTCGACCAGACGGCAGAAGACAGCCCAAGGCCATCAATGGGTGTTCAACACAGTGAGAAAATTCTCACAATTGGGTTGGGCGTCAGCTTGCCCCTAATCAAAAAAGTGTACAATTCATCTAAAATGGACGTCACACTAAAATCATATAATTGAACCAAAACTAAAAAAAGCAAATAAGACTAACAAAGACTACTAGATGCTACTTACTTGGAACAGGCGCGAAAATACGGCGAATGATAGGGTAAAGGTAATGGGTCCGTACGAACTATTTGTTCTGCATGCATTATATACTTGCCGTTCGGTATTTTTAATATCTTTTTTTCTGAATTGGGCAAACACTTTTGTCAGCTTTTTGGTATAATAATAAATCAAAAATATATGAAAAAAACCAACACCGTTAACAATGAGTATCTATGTATCCAATATAATATATAAACTATTTGTTGGACTATGTTGAAATGTAAAATAAGTGTACTAAAAATATACGATTCTTACTATCTATTTTTTCAAATTAAATATGAGAAAATCTGGATTGAAAGAACACAAAAAGGAATTACCACCATTCTTCCTTTTCCAAGTTAACTGTTGAAATGTAAAATAAGTGTACTAAAATTTTTCGATTCTTACTATCTATTTTTTTCAAATTAAATATGAGAAAATCTGGATTGAAACAACACAAGAAGGAATTACCACCATTCTTCCTTTTCCAAGTTTTTCTCCTTTGAGTATCCAGCAAATGAATTGTCTGTAAGCAACAAGACGGTATTGCCTGTTTATCAAATATATGATAGATTTTGGAAATAAGAAAAATCCAAATTTCAACAGAACTGACAATAATGCATGTAGTTGAATTTATTTTTACTTGGTCACCAAAGATGAGAAAAGGTATATTAACCACTTTACTCCATCTGTCATTACATCTGTCCAGAAGACGACCTTGGGAATTAATTATGAAAAAGTCTCACAACATTGACGTTTTGACAACTAGGCAAACAGCAGACCTCAAAATAAAACATTGAAAACAAAAGACTGCGACAAGAACCCCTCAGAAACCACTTAACTCGGAAATGGTATGCTGATACTGCTCAAGACGTGACGTTTGATATAAGTCTTATATATAAGTACACATTTGTTGATTTCGGGATTTCATATTTGAAGAAAAATAGAAAGGGATTGTGGTTACGACATTCA